CAGCATTTCCCTCGAACATTTCAGCCGAAAATCAATAGCGAAGAACAAACAAATAAATAAGGAAAGTAAAGGCACGGGTAAAGTTACTTGGAACAAAAAGAAATGGGTTTCTACAATTCCATTCACAGGACCGCTCTTGAATGTATTCACGCGCGCGTGAATGACGTTTCAGCTTTGATCACATTGCCAAGCACGTATTCATTCGTGTCTCCAAATCTCGCCGTCTCTCTGTGGGGTTGCCTTCTCTGTAAACTTTGACCTCTTGCAAAAAAAATCTAAAAGTGTGTGAGTTCACACGTGCTTGAGGCCGTTTTTTGTGCATGCGGCGCCCAAGCCAGCACTGTTTGTCTCCTAATTCCCAGAGCTCACAACAAGCTGTGTGCTGGTGGAAACTTCTACATGCTTGTGTGTGTGCGTGTGCACTGTGTGTGTTGGCATGTGGGAAACGGGTAGTGTAGCGGTTCGTGCGCTGCACTACAAACCCCACTCATGGTCAACACCAGTGACGATTATCTGAACCGGTCCGGGGCCTCTCCTAGATCGACTCAGTCTCAAATAAATACCTGGTGCGGTGTGTAAGCATCGCCACTTGGGACACAAAGGCGGCTGCGTGGTGCTGGCCAATCACTCCCTCGTGTGCCGTTCCGGCCTCCATACGTGCTTGCTAACAGCACTTGCCCCAACAGTCTGTTAAGGCTATACAGGGAATCTTTGTCCACTGTATAGCCTCGATCACCCACAACAAAAACAATCGCCATTTGTCACTAAGTGGCGATGATGTCACCACTGCGGTTGTGCCAGGCAATGTACACTTTAAGGCCACGTGAAGTGTCGAACACCCACTGGCAGGAGGTCACAGGACAGATCCAGATGCCATGAGTTGACTGAGATGACTGGCAGACACATACACACATACACACTAACAACTGTGGGGGGGAGCGGGTGGGGGTGCCACTGATATGCGTTCGAAACAATCTAGCGGCCGCTTGGCCTGGAGACGGGACACAGAGATGCCGCAGGGCCCAAGCTGGAATGCCGGTTCCACAACAAGCGTGTTGCCAAACACTGCCACGGAGCCTCATTCCAGCCTGCAGCGCGTTCCCCTCCTTGCATCGAAGCCCGTCGCAGCGCCAGCCTATTCCTCGCCACGCTACCACAGCCGCAGAGGCACGGCTCCGCCACGCGCCATACATCGCTGCACGACAGCTCTCCGAGTGTGTTTTGTAGGCTCCCGGCAGCTGGAGCAAAACGTCGGACATCGCGCCCAACCACACGCGATGCTGTTGTGCGCGCTGCGCGGCGCACACCGCGAAAACCTAAGCACGACCATTGCTGCACAATATAATAAATGATAAGTCACAAATTAAAAAACTAAATATGTTCGCACACTTTTCAAAAGCGATTATTATTTTGTTCATTTGTATTCGTTGATGGGGAGCGGTGGGGCGCTGCGCTACGAACGTGGTTTCTGGCCACGGCTAACATCAGTGGCGAGTAATATTTGAGTGATATTGGAGTGATATTGGAACCGATCATCAGCTTCCCCCATCACTAATCCGGGCTCATTAAGAACAGATTACCCGAGGACTGAACAGATTTGGCCGACAGCCACACACAGGCCGACACGAAGCCTTGCTCAGGTTAGGACTGCAAGTGCGCTCAGACCAACGTGAAAGCCAACAGGTGACTTGAGCGCGCACTAACAAATTAAATGCTCTGTTGCCAGGTCAAAAATATTGGCCTCTAGTACCCGATTAGTGTGGCTAAGATGCCTCCAGTGTCCAATAAAATATCATTTGCGGGCTGCTACCACGTGGCAGTTTTCGTGCGGTCGCGTGCCATATCAGCAAATCCCCACCCGTCTTATATTTCATTAATTTTGATTCGTTGAATGGATTACGAGGTGAAATTTGTGATGCGTGCGCACGACAATAACAAAACAAATCGTCACTATCGCAGGGTCCTTAAGCAATACCTGCAACCCCCCCCCAGCATCCACAGATTCGTCGCTAGTCGAGAAACCTCGCATCGTATTCAGTCGCACATTTTCATCTGCTGCCTCTCGCACCTCTCATCTGCTGGTGTGGGCAGTAGTAGCGGTCAGCAGCGCCGGATTAACTTTACGGGGGGCCCTGGAGGGGGAGGGGTGGGGGGGGCTGTTACGATTTTGGGGGGGGGGGGCTCCTCTCTCCGTAGATGCAATCCCGTTACCCTCTGCCGGTTTAATCACCTCCCACTCGGCCATGCCACAACACTACGGTTATTTCAGCTCCGGTGATGCAGCCGCTCAAGCCCCGCTGCGTAGTTATGGTCGCCCCGGTGTTGACGATGTTTACAGATGCACTCCGCAATGAATGACACAATCTCAACCGAGGGCATCGGAGCGAGCGGCGCTCTTCCGGTTTTTTTTCTTCCTCTCGGGGCCGGACGGGACAGGACAGCGCGCAGAGGAAACACTCGATGACAAACTTCCATATCCCCCCACCCCAACCCCAGCTTCACCACAAGACCACCCACGCACGTACACAGACGCACGCACGCACGCGCGACAGCGAGCACACGCGTGTGTTTTAGCAGCGGCAGCTGTGTACGCGCACAAATCAGGCGCCCGTGCACCCACTCGGGGACTGTACGCACGCGCGACAATTCACGGGCAGATTCGTCAATTCAAATGGACTCGTTAGCCACGCTCAAGACCGACGCGTCAGACCTTGCGGGTGGCTACTCTCGACGTTTTTGATTCACGCAAAATTACGTCCGATTGTTACGGGGCAAAAAGTTAATTGTACGAACGAGACGTAAGACAAAAACTGTGGGTGGTAACGAAGCATCGATGCATTGATCGATGTACATTCTGGAGGGCACGTTGTACGGGCATGGTTCACGCCACCCCTGCAGCCACTAGAGGCTGTAAAATTCACCAGAATCTTTTTTTTTTTAAAGAGCGCAGCACACACGTGTGTGTGTGTGTGTACACAAACTCCCGATGCTCCTGAATCAAAGCAAGGCTTGGATCAGCTTGAAACACCTCCCAACCACTGACGTTCCCATGCAGGAATTCTACCAATTCGCTGGGATTGTAGCACAATGAGATAACCAGCCTCACAATAACAACATGCGCACAACATATACAGACACACACAAAGACAAAGATACCCCGTACAGCCTGTAACATATTTTTGGGCCAAGTGCTGTCAGTGAGCACCTATGAAGGCCGGCATGGCACATGAAGGGGTGGGTGGCCAACACCACGCCCGACCACCTTTGTCTCCCTAGTGACGATGTTTACACACCGCAACAGGTACTCATTTGAGGCTGAGTCGACCTAGGGGAGGCACTGGACCGGTTCAGATAATCGTCACTGGTATTGGCCGTGAGCGGGAATCGAACCCGGGTCGCCAGGTTCGTAGCGCAGCGCGCTAACCGCTACACTACCACTCCCCACGCACACAAACACACACAAACACACAGTGGCACCACACACACAAACACACGCACAAACACACACACACACAAACACACACAAACACACGCACAAACACACACACAACACAAACACACACACAGTGGCGTGCACACACACACACACAAACACACACACACAAACACACACACAAACACACACACACAAACACACACACAGTGGCGTGCACACACACACACAAACACACACACAAACACACACAGATCCGCTTTGCGGTGCCCCATGAGTCATCTTGGACTTTCCAGCCGTGCTCTTGTCAGGTGTGTGTGTGTCTAATCTGTTAGAGGCACACTTCGTTCCATTTCCATCGAGTTCCTATTATAACAATACCGTGAATAATACTTCCCATTGTAACAGTACCATGAACAATAGGCCCTATTGTAATAGCTATAACAGAACGTGTATCATAGTTGCTATTGTAACGGTGCTGTATGTTATAGTTGCGATTACAATGGTATTGTATGTCATGTATCTTATAACAGGGCCATGCATATAGTTCCTTTTATAACATAAATGTGTCTTACGTGTATTAATATAACAGTGCTGTGTATTTTACAGTAGTTCATATCGTAGCAGTGCCGTAGATACTGTAGCTCCTATTGTAAATACCAAATAATATATATTTTTCAAGCCCATTTCATGGCAATAATAATAATACAAAATTAAAACTCTCCCTATGCAATTGCAATCTTGTTGCCGTTTAAAACAGAGACAATTGACCCCTCTTGACTTTCACCTCATCAAATAAAGGCCACAAACTTAATGGAAACATGACACAATCTGTGCGTGAATTCCATACCTGTTAACCCCTTATCACAGTGCCTACCTTATTACAGACCAATTCAGACCTTATTGATCACCCCGTGCTCCTTATAAACCTCAACGTGCATCCTACAAAGTCCCATCACAAGGGAGAAACACAAAAACAAAATGTTTGCCTGTATTGAAACGGCTGTACCTCATATGGAGCTGAAAACTCAATTTCCCTGTACAAGAATACGGGGTAAACCGGATGGGTTGACAGCTGTGGAATTCTGCGCACACGCAGTGGCCACTGGCTCTCGCTCCAAAGCCGAGAGACATTTGATTTTTGCGCCTTTGCGCTGACAGACACGAGCACACCCACCACCGAGTTCATTACACACAGCCTTGTCGATAACAGACAGCGCTGACTGTCAAAGGCAAATGAATAAGACCATTATTCTCATTATTTACACATTATATGACCGCATTACCCAGAATGCACCTGATCTCGTCACATCTCGGAGAGCTAAGCAGCAGGTTTGCACCAGGACAGCGCCTGAACGGATGACTGACGTGCATCACAGGTGCTATAGGCTACGGAAAAGCACAGTGCGCGGGGCACGTCCGACGGGATGAATGAGCGGGGCCCTTCTCCCGCTCTCCTTTGGTCTCCTTAGCGAGCCCGCGACACTGCAGCGGAGCGGACCCACAGGCCGAACGACTTCTTCAGTGCCGAGACCATTGCCGTACGAGACACCCCGCGCGCTCTCACCTGTAGTACGGTGGCTTGCTGCTTGTCGTTGGCCGAAGATGTTTTGGAACTGTTCTTCGACTGCACTTGTTGTTGTTGTTGCTGCTGCTGTTGCTGCTGCTGCTGCTGCTGAAGATAGAGCCTGGCAGCTTGAATGGCCTGCAACTGGACAGACGGCACAAGGCGAGCCGATGAAAGCGAGCGAGCCACGGTAAAGAGCGCGGGAGCGCGAGCGTACGTGTGACGCTCGACTCGTGCACTCTCGCACGAACGGGGAAGTGCAACTGTTCTGCGTCCACCTTCCTCACGTGTGAAGAACGCGTGTGCGGTGGGGCAAGCATTTCACTAGCACCAGTCGGACGTAAAACGCACAAAACACACGACGTTCGAAGTGGTTAGGCCATGCTGCCACCCAACCTCTGCCGAATCGGATCTCAAATAAAAGCCCAGTCAAGCACGTCAGGACAAAAGAGAGACATTGTGCACGTTTTGGAGTAAAAATTACAGTTCCGTTTGAATGATCATAGAAAGCGGATTACCTGATATATGGTAAAGTACCCATCTCTGTTGTTAAAGAAGATAGTGCTGCGTGATTTCAGACACACGTGATTATAAATGTAAAAACATAACTTGCGAATATGGATGCTTATTAATTTCACAGAAAGTGCATAGTATGTTGTGGTCTTGTTTGTACAATATTTGTAAGTACATGTAATGTATGCAGACACCTATGTGTATGCTTATATGTACTCTATAATGTATACAATATATGGCAGTTTGTATGAAATGCGGTAAAATGTATACTAAATTTAACGTACCTTAATGTACGTTAAATTAGATTTTAACGAACCTTTGCAGTTTACTATTCGCAAAAAATTGTTTCAAACAATGCAACAAAAAATAAATTTCCACCCACTTTTTAATTCCAAAAACGCTTCCAAACCACAAATCACATTTTTCAATAATAGGAATATAAACATCAACGTGCGTCAGGAGCGCAGTGTGCCAACCGCCTGGTCTTTCTCACCTCGCGACGTCAGAATTTGAGCCGAACATCGCAAGAAGGTCACTGTCCTAGTTTCATTTCAACCCTTCACACGCTTCCCCCTTTCACCCCACTCAATGCAACGAATTGGAATTTTCTTCACATTTTTATTTTTGTGGCAGGATACCAAAACACAAACCCCGACTAAACATCTGGGCTCAAACTCCCCCCCCCCTGCCCCCCTCTCGGAGTTACCACCACCAACGGTGCGAATAGGATTCGTCACGGGCAGAGTGCAGCTTCCTCGCGGAAGTTTCTGCGCACCGGGCCGATTTCATGGCGGGTTTGCGTTCGAAAATAAAACGTCTCAAACAAGCGGTCGACTGCGCAGAGGAGGTTCGTCATCTCCCGCCCGGCCGGGGACTTTTCGAGTAGCTGCTACACACCGAGCGGCACACGATAAGAAGTCCCTGCGGGCCGTTCGAACGCTCCCGCGCCGTCCGCGACCCGGCACCCGCGCTCGTTTGTCGACGCGAGGTCACGCGGCGGGCGACCTCAACGAGTGGGACGCCAGGAAACGCCGCCCGCGCTGTTTCACTCCGGGCCGATCCCTTACCAGGGATGCGCTTGCTCTGCCGCCGGCAGTCTGGGATTCTTATCCCGATATAAAGGTTTCGCTCTGTAAACTGGTGACGTTTACACGAACGCACTGATTAAAATAATAAACAACGTCCTAAAAGAAACAATCCCACCGAAGGAAAAAAAGAGCGGGAGAACCACAAGGATATGGGTCGGCTTTCGGACCGACACTCGCGTTCTGAAAGTTCATCTCGACGTAAGTCACTGGTCAATGGTGCCCACGTAAGTCCAACTAAACGCCTTTAAACCGCCGCCTCTAGAGTGAAAGATATTTTTTGTCCGTCAATGGTCATCAGTCATCCCTCCCAAAGCATCGCACGCCCGTCGCTTGGCCCCACGTAAAAGATTTCCCCGGCGTGCGCTCAATTTACGTTAGGGTTTTGGCGCAACGATGTACGGTTATTTCACGCTGTAGTATCTCCTCCCGCGAAATGAAGTTTCAAGCCAAGCGTAGTTTCTGCAATTTTTCTCTTGCAATTTTATACGCACGTATGTACGTTGAACTTCTTTCGCACCGTACGTAGCCAACTGTCCTAAATCGGGGTACCCTGGCAGCAATTTCCTCTTTCGATATAAATGTAAATACATAAATGGCAAGGGGGGAGGAGAGGGTTTTTTTTTTAAAGTACGCGCGTTTCGCTCGATGTGAACTTAATCTGATTGACAGCAGCATTTGTCTTTTCTTTCTCCAAATAGATAAATACACGCGTGTCAAACAATCCCGGTGGGTGCTCGGAGGAATAAATGCAGACCTGAGCGGGGCGCACGAGTGAACGTAATCACCTCCGCCAGCCGTAAACACGGCGCATTCCCGAAGACGCACAAATAAAAATCACATGTGCACGCGTGCGTCCACAAACACGGGTCAATCTGCAAGAACGTAAACACGTGAACACACAAACAACGCACAAGACGCTCCACGCAACGTCCCCACTGCCAACGCGGGGGGGTCGGGGACGCATCAATATGAAACGCAGCGCGCGCTCACGCACGTACGCACGATATCGGATAAACAAGGGCGCGCGCGTCGACGTTACTCACTGGACCAAGCTCAACGCGCGGCAGGGTCGATCATCTCCGACCGGTGAGAGACCCGCGTGCGTGCGTGCGCGCGTGACGCCTCTGAGACACACACGCGCCGCGAGAAAGTTTTTCGCCCCAAACAGCACCAGGATCCGCGACGCGGCCGCAGGAGACGGGGGGCGGCAGTCGCAGAGCTTGCAACACAACACACAAACATAGCTGAAGGCGATGACATCACGGCACGGTTGCTGCTTACCTCATTCGCAATGTTTATTCATGCTTATTTTGCGCATGGGGTCTAAAACAGTTGGGGGGGGCGGAGGGGGTCGCATGGGCCCAGTGTGTGTGTAGCAGTGGGAGGGGGGGGGGGGTCTTGTAATGATGCCAAACAGCTGGTCTTGGCAGTTATCTGCTTCATTTGTTTGTGCGCGTGCACTTACTTTGCTCAAATTTTTTTTATAAGAACGCGCAGCCCGCAAGCATGCCACCAACTACCCTATCTGAGTCATTTATTTTTTAATATATTTGTTTTATTTCGATGGCAGCAAGCGCTACATTTTTTTTACAGTCATTTCACTCCGCTGCACAAGGGCTTCCTTATCGCGGCACCGCAACCCGCAGGCGTTGGCCACGGCTGGGTGTGCACTTTGTAACCGGCTGCATTGTAGACGCATAGGAGCTGTGTAACAATTTTATTTTATCACTCATTATTATTATTATTCGCCACGCGCGTGCCAAAACCGTCCACAGTTGCGTTACGATAAAGCGGGCTAAACGATTAATATATTTTTTTTTGGGGAAGATTCTCCCGGGTATAATCCATCTGTGCATTGCGTGCCGAGTTCCGCTGGCTCCGAATTCGAACTATCTTTCTGGCCATCGGGCATGGATCATTTCAAATCCACCGAGACAATAACAAGAACAAATTGTTGTTGTTCATAAATTATCGCGCTCATTAAATGTTGGGGGAAATTCAGACGCTTGCACGTCATCGTCGGCGCTATCATCGCGGCCGGTGGTGAGCAGCCCCCATGCACAGGTGCCAGGTGGATCGTAAAATTCGCGTGGCATCACGGGACGGTGACGCAGCTCGGGCAGCCATTCATCCAGCAGCGGATCGTTCGCAGCTGACGTTAACAAAGATCAGCTTTGCAATATCAAATCAGATGCCAATGTCTGAATGCGTTGTGAGCATAACAAGTCAATTATCCGCTGCTGGATGAAGACCTCTCCCGAGCTCTCGCCATATCTTACGGTCTTCCGATGCAACAATCTGTCTGGCTTCTGCACACAATCTGATTTCATTGCCCCGTCTCTGCAGACAACATCCCTCGAGAACTTTCTCTCCTTTGGCACTAGCTCCGTCATTAGTCTCGCACACCCTCCATCATCCCTTTCGGCAACTTGTCCTCCTCAAAGCCCGCTTACGTTTCTTCAATGTCTCAGTAGCAAGATGTTAACTACCTCGTCTGGTATACCGGAGGTCATTGGTTCAATCTGGACTCTTGACACCGACATATTTGGAGTTTCCATGTTGTCCCCGTGGTTGCGTGGATTTTTTCTCCGGGTCCTCCGGTTTTTCCATCCACATCTAGAAAGATGCCTTAAAGAGTATTTGGCTGCTATAAATTCCCACACGATAAGCCACTTCGTTGAGCTATCATTTGTGGCCAGGTTGCTTCTGAAAAAGATCTATGGAGCTCAGTGGGCCTTACCTAGTCAAATAAAAAAAATAGTTTAAAATAGTTTTAGTTCAGTTATCTGATCTGTGTGTTGGCTCTGTCTCTCAGTGTAATTCAAAGAAAGGACCTCTCCATGCTTCCTGCACACTCTTCAACTTTTCTTTGTCCATGTTCATTCTAAACATATCGCTATTGGCAATAATAATAATACCTGTCTCTGGATCAGCCAATATTTACACGAGTCGTGTAATGACTCGGCTCCTTTCTGATCTGACGCACTGTCAACAATTCAGGGTTATGATTCCGTAATAAAAACACTCTTTTGCCACGTACCATTACGCTTGTATTGTTTCTCAGTTTTCCACATTTTTTACGCAGCCTTTGACCGATTGGCCTGAATGTGGCATTTGCATATCATTGCATCATTCAGCAATAGATGACTCTCGCGCACATAGCTCTATGCGCGCGCAGTGAGGCAAAGGAATCGATTTCAACCGCTTAATAGACACATCTTCAACTAGTTGTCAGAGGGCGATGGTGCAATCGCCCTCCGACAATATCATCAACCATATCTGACCAGCGGGGTGAAGTATGGTCAAACAACCTCCATGACCTCCACGGTGCGCGGAGGCCATCATCCAGCAGTAAAGTGATAGTGGCCTATCAATATTTAGCTCTTGTTGATATTTGTGTGGTAGGGGCATGCGGTCCGTCCCATTCATTGCAAGCCACGTGAAAGCCATTTCAGGCCACGCACATTTTTCCCGAAGCCACTCCAAAACGCCTCTTGGCATTCCTGCGACCTGCGGGAAGCATTCATTCCCTGAGCTAATGAT